ATTTATAATCAAACTAACATAACTCAAGACATGTCCTCAGAAAAAAATTAGAGTGTTTGACATAATATCATCTGTAAATCAAACTAGTAATTCATCACAGAGCATGTCTTCTACTAGACTACCTAGGTCTTCTGTATTAATTTACCTTATCAATGTTTAATTTAACCACCCTTTTCACTCTCTTATACTAGAAATACAAACATATAAAGATTTGAAGGTTAATAAACTGTACAAATAAATTGAATGAAAAACAAGGAAGTTTCCAAGGGCCTGATGTTCAAAATCCACACCAAAGTCACTCCTGTCACCTGGATAAAGGACAATACAATCACATCAATTTTTTCTAAAAAATTCCTACCTGATTTCTTGCTGCACCAAACATGACAACAGCTGGTCTAACTGATAGAGGTGGTACTGGCATCACTGTGACAATCATCCAGTCTGGACGAGCAAACTTTGGCTCCATTCCCATCACCAGACACTCCTCATCTGATATTCTTTTGAATATCTCGTGAACTCTCTCTGCTGTCAGCATTATTTTTTTCTCTTGACTCTCTTCATTGACGTGTTTCCATTCTGCTACCAGTTCCAAACCTGTTCTTTTGATGCGAGGTTGGAAGCGACCACAACCACCATGGCCCTGTACATAATGAAATCAACAGACAAATCAGTAGGATTGTTTCATTTTACACAAAAAAGACCTCAGTAGTCTTTATCATAGTTAAAAGACCAGTTATTACCTCCAGATATAGAAAATTTTCAAGTTCCTATATTTCTATTTCTATAGTTGTCAAGTCTTTCAGAAGAATAATGTGATGCATTCAAAGGCTTCAGTATAAATTCAGTTGTTTTTTTCCCTTTACCTTTGAAAAAAAAAAAAAAAAAACATGCACAACATGTTACACAAAACTTTATTAATTACCCTTAGCATTCTATTTAATTTTCTTTTGTCAAATAACATAAATCAGACAGAAAATTCAGACATGTCAACAGGTGGAAGCATAGCAGTTTATTCTTACCGTTTTTTCTTCATCACCCTCTCGATTTTGTTGTTCTCCCAATTTTGTGTCCATTTCATCTCCTCCCTCACAGATCTTTTTCCCTTTACATAATTCATACACATGGGCCATTCTTTTTCTAGGCTGCCCCTTTGACTTGGCCAGAATGTCTTTTATTTTTGGATTTGTCTGTTAAAGCAGAAAGATACATAAATAACCAAAGTCATCTCTTCAGACAAAAATAAATTTTAATAATATTTATAAGAAATTATTCTGAGGAAGAAAAGCACATTATATGTTCTCACTAATAATGAAATATTACTGTGGATTTTCAGATATAGCAATTTTTCACTGAAGTTCAAAAGGAATCAAAAGCATTCCAATATTCTTGCTCAGATGAAAATAATGTACATTTTCTATCCACATATATGATGCTAGATACTAATCTTTTAACATGGCCAGTGAAACTTCAAATTGATATGTAATGTAATTGTCTAGTGTTACAATTAAGAAGATATACCAACATGGTTTGTATGGTTAACTTTTGGGAGGAATAATTCGTAAAAAGTGAGTATTGTGCAGTTGAGTGGATACATTGTTCTTGATCATAGTAAAATCATTAATTTGAACTGAAGTATGTTTTAATTGCACAAGTTATCTTACCGGGTCCACCAACAATTTTGAGCAGAAGAAACACACACATCTCAGCACTTTAATAGTCTTTGTGAAAAATCCAACATGGAAAACTGGTTTTGACAATTCTATGTGACCAAAGTGACCTGGACATTCAGACATATTGCCAGCACAGGTCTGACATCTGGATGTTCTGTCTATAGTTCCCTGTCGAGGGTCCATCAACCCATTAAGTTTGGGACGTCCACCTTCCATTGTCTCTGAATATCGGATACCCCCTTCGGTAACGGACATACGCCGCTGAAAAAAACAACTTTAAATACTAAGCACATTTAACTTTTCACTACACTGATCATGACACTTCCATGTGTATACATTTTGTTAAGAGGACAAGATATTAGACATTGATCTGTAACAGTTTAAATTTCATCTTAGTTCAAAATACATAGTTAACATTTCTGATTCCATTTTTTTTTATATCCTCCATAATAACAAACCAAAATACAAGATCCTGGTTTTTTCACACACACACCTACACACACGTATAGATATATATTAATATATTTTGAAAAATATGCTAGATTCTATTTATCCCACACACATTACCTCAGTCACATTTATCTATATAGTACTGTTAGACTATGATAAAAATAATCAAATAATCTCAAATTTTCAGTGTTGTTCAAATCGAAATGGTAAATATAACATTCGCAATGCCTTCTTTAATCATGCTATTGGTAAGGACCAAGGAGTAAAGATTATAAATAAATTTCACCAAATCAAATGGCGTATTTGCATTTCCTTATGTCTACACATGAACACGTTTGTGGGATGGATGTTCAGAACTTTGAAAACAAAGAAAACACCAGTTTTCCCTCAGCCAAAAAGCATGACACTCACTTAAATCTCAAAGAAAATATATAATATGGGCTAACGTTGCTAGTTTTTACTCATACATGGAATTAATTATTTGGACCAGGAGGTTCATTTAAATGTCACGTAGGCTTAGAAGCTTATCAAAATAACACAATTTATTTTGGTTCATTTAAATGGGTAATCATATAAAGGACATACACATTCATCTGGACTCAGAATGCCGAACTGGACCCTCTTCACGTCTCTCATTGTTGCGTTTGAATCGCCTGTGTACGCCATCTTTGTTGTGCAACACGGGTATGGCGGAGACCTATTTCTTTCGTCAAATTTTTGTCACAACAGGAATAGCACCTGAAACAAACGCTATCACGTCGGTCGCTGGTTATTTTACATTATGTTGATATTGGTTTCGTGTAATTATATTCCGAAACGGACGGTTATCACTTTCCCGCTTGTAACACGCTTGCTCCTGATCAGAGCTCTTCCTCCAACTGCTGATTCGCTGCGCTTTTATACTTTTTCCGTGATTCTAAGGGGTTTACACAAATGTGTGCAAGGGCTGAAATCACTGAAACGCTTCAAATAACGAAATCACATTTCTGTCACGTAAGCATGAAAACGATTAAGAATAGGAAATGACGTCACAAATTTAAAGAAGAGGTATATTGGGGGTAATTCAAGAGCTGGACAAATGTCGAAGTTCGAAGCTAATAAATGGAGTTAAACACTTACAATCTGTAGATTTCGGATAACCTTTGCGTCATTTGATTGAGTCTCAACTTGTTTAATAAAGCTATTTATATAGATACAAAATGTGAACACAGTTCAACAGTTGCAAAGCATTCGTAACACCTCGCCTCGATTACAGTGCCTACCGTCATAAATGACCTGTCGTCATTACTTCATTTATCATATATACACGTGTATATGAAATGAATTTAATTCTCGTTCAAACCAAGAAGTTCAATATATAATACATATCCGAGTTCAAACTTATAATGATAATTAATGGAATTTGTTTCTCTTCACAAGTAAGACCAGAATGTCATTTGTGTCATTCAAAAACAGAATTGAACTTTTACTTCAGAATAATGCCAAAAAGATTCGGGAAGATAACCATATTTTAACTCTTGGCTACGGCAGGACTATTTCAGATGTTCATTCGGATCACCATGCAGGAAGTATATGATATGTATTTCTGTTTATTGTCATATGCCCCTGTTATGTTAACCATGTACTTATCAGATTACGTTTAAATATATGATAAAGATGACGATAAAATAATCAGCAACAGTAGTAGTTAGTATCAGATTTAAGCCTATAATAAACTATGTAAATTATAGTTTGTCGTTGGTTTTGTACGGAGAAATACATAAATCACAAATGGTTCGGAAAAGGTAGGCACGTAATCCGTTCAAACAAAAATAACGCAAATTATTCAAAGTCAATAATATATCATGTATACGTTTTAAATCAATTGGATAGTGGCAAGTGGCAAAGTTCAGAATATACATATGTAATTGACCAGTTCTTCCAAAATTATTAGATATATACAAACAGATACGTATATAACGTGATATGTACGTCTCTGATACAAATAACAAAAGTTATCAAAGTATGGGTAAAATGATCCTCCCGATCTCGATTTAAACATTTATTGCGATCACTATCACACTCCTTCCCATCGTTTCATACTATTAACTCTCTACCCATTTTCCTATCTTATCTTGTCTGCTGGAGGGCCGAAAGGAAGTGGACGTAAAACTCTTTCATAAAGTAAATTTCGATCACTAGATTTTTCACATTCGCCCCCTTATTTTGAATTTTTAAGCCTTTGGTATTACTGACAAGCCAGACAACGACGAAACAGCTTTATGATGTACCGTATTAATTCTACTTATGTACTGGAAATGTTATTCACTTTTATGTCTCATTTTTTGCAATCTTGCGTTGTATTTGATGATGGATGTATATATGTGATGATCGGTGTGTACATGTATGTATGCCAGTGTATGATTGATTTGTATATTTATATGCCATCACGTGTTGTTTTCTTAATGTACATTTAATTATAAGAAGAAGACCTCGTAAGTTGTAATAACTTGTATCTAATCCTTTTGTTATTACACTTAAAATAAAATATAAAATATGTTTAAACTATGCTATTGTTAGACTGTTATTTTCGGACGATCAATTGTAAGTATATCTGATTTAGGCCTGGTTTGTTCGGTATGGATGTGATGATAGGTGTATGAATGTGTTAGCCTGGTATTTGACGATCGGTGTGCATATATGCGACTACTCAACTGTGGTTAAAGTCAGAGTTGTTTTCTTAAAATCAGCATAAAATTCATCACGAAAGGCGATTTCATATAGGAATTCCATTTTTTGCAAATATATACTTACGTACGGTAACCCTGGTTCTGTAAAATGACGCTCTGTCCCATTTCATTTAACAAAAATCCATTTCCTACACCTACACAAATTGTGAGCTTTAAGCTTGAACATTAAACGGTACATAGAACTTTCAAGCTTAAATTCATCGTCTGTAGCCCACGGTACCGACAATATAAACTTCACTGAACATTACCTCTAGAGTATATCAGTCAAGTTGTTATTAAATCATGAGAAAATGGACTTGTAGATCTCAATCCCAAAATTTTATGACAAAATTTCAATTGAACTTGTGTAACACTTTTTATCTATATTGCATGCTAGTATTTCGGATCCATATCATATGAATAATAGTTTAGTTTAGTTTATTACCAGTGCAGGATCGTTACGATCCTCTATACCGGTCTCAGTGATACAATGATAATGTTTATAATTATTGACATTTGAGACGTTAGATCCAGGTACTACAGAATTTCTGCTTTATAATTATATACCAGTTCTTGATTTTCCCAGTATTCATCTAATCTATTTTTGAAAGAGTTAACTGTTGGTGCCGATACAATATACTCCGGCAGATTGTTCCATATTTTGACCACACGCAAAGAAAAAGAATGTTTCCTGATGTCAAGTTTACAGTGCTGCATATAAAGTTTTTGGAGTGACCACTTGTTCGCTGAATTTGAACTTTGTCGATCCTTAATTTAAGGAAATCAGCTGCGTGACTATCATAAAAATTGTTCGTAATTTTGAAGACTTCAATCATATCCTCACAATGCAGGCTAAACTATCAAATGATCCGAGTCAGATGCAAGTCCATCGGAAGATTTAAATCTAACGATAGACTGGAAAATAATCCTGCTTTGGGCTTATTTACAAGGCTTCCGATTGATATTTTAGCGTCGGAATAACTCTCATAGTCTATAAGCAATACGCCACTCAAAAGTAACTAAAAGTGTCCACATTTACAATACATATCAGAACATAGTAGTCGTTCGCCAAGAGTTACGTCCCCTTCACATCTCCGTCGTAACAGGCTTCCCATTAGAAAGATACGACATTTGGCATGTTTTTATTAAAGTTAAGGTACAAATGGTTGTTGCTACATCTATTACATTTCGTGACAACGACACAAGGATGTTTTATGCATGCTCCAGTAGTTATAATGAAAAGCAATCAAAGGAAACATCCGTAAAATTACTCGAGTTCATCTTGCAGCTTGCTGCTATTACAACGTGAAACACCATGGCGGACGAACGGGTTTCCCCAAGTTCAATATAGGTTGCTATAAATATTTATCCAATAAGCTATTACGCTCGATATGACGCATTAGGGATTTAATCCCATCTGTCAAATGAAATTGGTCAACAGAAAATCTATTTTAAGCCCGTAATTACCGGCATGACGATGCAGTGTTGATGCAAATAGACGCCTTCAGAAATAGTTCCGGGCCAAGGAAAAACGGACCAATGACAACAAAATTGAAACAGTAACTTTATTAACAACAATAAATTGACATTCCTTGTCAAATAAAGCATATATCAAAACTAGATATACATATATCCATTATCAAAAGCCATCACTCCACAACTATTTTTTTTATTTAAAACGAAGTCAGAAACACTTGCATATGTATATGTAGCCACAATGGCTTGTCTAGATAATTAAGATAATAAAAATAATTTCGAAAAGTCCCTGTGATTTTGCTACTTCTGGTTATTAATTTTGTAAATATGCTTTTTTTTCTCACATGATGTACAAAATATTGCCCCATTAGGATATTCTGACAAGGTGAAGTTAACGACGCCATCAAAAGACCATGGCTGCAATAGTAATAATGGTATTGACTTATCTGCAAATAAATTGGCAACCATACAACTTAATGCTAGAATCACTGTAATTCCTCCACCAGTATGAGTGATTTACATTATTCTGATAGTGTAACAAACAAGCTCTGTCCCGTCAGTTTATCCTAATAGGGATCTATGAAGGTATAATGGAATGCTGACAATATTCATATATTGAACAATCATTTTAATTTGTCACACGAAAAAAAAAAAAAAAAAAACAAGAGCCTGTTTCAGGTCACGAAATACGCCTGTGATTTTGTCTGACTATCACCTACACTATTTATGCTGTATATAATATATTGCATTTGTTTCAATGGTAATTGCGTAATACTTTGCAAAGTTATTGCACCGACATTGAAAAGGTTAGACATTAATGGGCCGTAACTCTAAAAGTTGTGGATCAAAAATCATGGAAATCAAACTCAATCTAGCTTTGATTGTACTTAAGCTTGCAATGAAAGTTAAAAGAAATCTGTTAAGGCTTAATCAATTCCAAAATCGCTGGGACATTGAAATGTTTACGAACAGAGGGACATACGGACGGAAGATGGACGGATGGAAGACGAGAATACCATAATATGTCCTGTCATTTGACGGATGTATAAAATACATAAATATCAAACAAAAAAAAGAAGTAAATAAATGTAAAGATCATAAATCTAAAATAATAAGCAAAATCACTTGAGGTACGCATATTGTGCATAAAAATACATTGAAAAATTAATTTAAGATTAGAAACAAGAGGCCCATGGGCCTTATCGGTCACCTTAGAATCAATCACTTCACAAGCAATGGTAAGAACTGACAGTATTTCTGATATTGATTTACATTTATTATTAACAGCTAATAGTTGTCTGCTGTTTAAAGAATTATAAAAAAATCATCACATGTTTTGTTTTTTATTTGTCTATTTCATTATATCTAGGAACATTTATCTTATAGTGATATAGTGACAGCTGTCAGTTGCTCACTTATTATGAGTCCATACTAGTTTATGGAGAAATTACTGAAATTAGCATGTCTATGTGTGCTTGATGATGAAGATAATGATGTTGACTGTGTCTAAGAATCTGCAGCATCCTTATGCATGGAAGTTAAAGTGTGTGAAGAAGCTGATATTGAGGATGTGTGATGCTGCTGATGTTGGTATATATGATGATGTTGAGGTGTGACGATGCTGATTTGGTATGTGATAATGCGGATGTGTAATGCTGCTGAAGTGTGATGATGCTAATGTTGATAGGTGACCATAATGATGCTGATGGTATGTGATGATGCTAATGTGTGACGAGGATGATGATTGTATATGATGACGTTGATGTCAGATGCTGATGTTGTTTGTATATGTAACAATGCTGGAGTGCTAGTATGGCTGCAAGTTATAAATATATGTTTAGAGTGATTGTGTTACATAGTGTCTATGATAGTTAAGATATAGTGTGCAACTCAAAATGCTGTGTGTTTAGTGGTGAAAATGATGCATGACTATACTCTGTAAGTGTGTGACGATGGGAGTTATAGACTGATAGTATATATGAATCTATTTATTCCTCGTGTGTTTTTCGATAAATAAAAAATAAACAAATATATATAAATAAATGAAAATAAAATTAATATTATCCCTGTTAATAATTAACATTTAAAATTACTTTTGCTAAATGATTCTCTTGGCATGTTTAAATGGGTTAAAATTTCCCTTGCACCGGTTGCAGTGCGCTTCCATAAAATTCTACAACGATACTACGCGATCTCTAAAAACTACAGCTCAAGCACCATTTCATCAATTAAATAATATTAATATAATACAAAAAGAACTATTACTTACGCATAAGAACTCACCACAGTTCCCCTGTAAGCAATTTCTTTCCTTGAGGTGCGCATAATACCCGCCTTGCTTACATAAAAATAAAATCAAGTAGGAAAACTCCGTGCTGGGAGGTAACTCTGCACGAACGTCAAAAATATGCTGATATGGATTGTATTTTATTTGTCAAGAGCTTATGTCTTGTATATACGTTGAGGGTATTTGCACAGATTTGAAGTTTTCTTGGTAAAAGTATTTGAGTTTTGAGTGGAAAGCGGATAGAAGTCCTTGACCGGTACATTGTGGGTTTCAACGATGTCGGCACGATGTGGGCGTTGTTGTATACATCTATATAACTGGTCAGGTAGTGTAAGATAATTGACTAGTTCCGGATATTTGACCCGGCCTCCGGATCCTTGTTTTCGTGTTTATATGTGTGTTGTTGTTTTCCGTAGAATAAATTGGCGGTAAAGTGAAGACAGCGTGGTTTTCTAATCTGTGATGTATGGGTTTTATCGTGCCTCTCATAGCCAAGCAGACGGGTTTCCCCTGCACCCCCATAACATGGTGGAGAATTCCAGCCTTCATCTTGATGCTGAATCGGTTGAGTTTTTGTGTTGTTTTGAATATTGACTAATTACTCGCAAACATTCTATGATTCATACCATGTCGGAGACGGACGAATTCTTGAATGATGATTTCCTGAAACAAAATGAACTTAAACTTGTTGATGATGTTGATTATTGTGGAAACGATGACTCTCCTGTAATGTTGCCGAGGGATCAGAGTTATTCTTAAGTACCTAAATCTAGAACTGATAGTGTTGGTCTAGCTGTAGACATTTCCAAATTACACAAGTTTGGAGGCCTTTGTCATGAAAACGGTGAACGTTTTCTTACCGAATTTGATGCCTATGCCTCGTTGTATTCACTCACTGATGATGCCCAGAAGTGTTCAATGTTCTATCTCCTACTGAAGGGCCCTGCCCAGACATGGTACATTTCGAACAATCTCCATACTAAAACCTGGCCTGTTGTTGTTTCCAAATTCCGCCAGAAATATATCACTGTATCATCTGCAAGTCCAACACTTCTAATGGAAAACAATGCATTCAACACTCTCACTCTTGGCCAATATGAACCCTTGGAGGACTTTCATTCACGACTGACTGAAAAGGCACGGCGCATTGGCAAAACTGATATAGACATTCTCACGAAATTTATTTCATCGCTTCCAGAAAAGTTGGCTATGTATGTCACACTAGGAGGACCTACAGACAGTGCTGATGCCCTCACAAAGGCGAAAATGGGGGAAGTTTTCGGTCATAGAGAACGTACACCACTTTGTAATAATGCTATGATTCAGCCTCAGGCTCTGGAGGCCAAAGTTGACAGACTTGCTGACCTTGTCAGTACTTTGTGTACATTCCCTGTACAGAATGCTCCCATTCCCAAAGAGGTGTCCATGTGTCAATGGTGTGGCCAGCCAGGTCACATTGCCACTCAGTGTCCACACCTGCGAGCACCACCTACAATTGATATTACCAGACCTCCACCACCAGTCCCATGTGCCCCTCCTCCATTGACACCTAGTGCAAGCCCACCGTCAGTGATGTGCATGACGTCAACCTCATCATCGGATCTACAGAATCTGGGAAACTACCGGACCCCAAGGGACTAGAGTCGCGCCCCCTTGGGAGGTCACCGCCATTAAATAGTTTGCGACGCCATCGTAGTGTAGAACCTGTCCGACGGGTTCATACAGACTGTAATCATGCTGTGAGCATGGGCAGCACCAGTGATACAGAAAGTGTGAATGCCAGTGATGAGACAGTATCAGACAATGCTAATGGTACCTCAGCTACTACTCAAGGTTCATTTATGTACTTACCTGTGTATATCGAGGGTCAGACTGTTGCAGCCCTATTAGATACAGGCAGTAGCATTAATGTAATGTCTAGGTCATTTTATGATAAGTTATCTGTAACTGTTAAGACAAGTATTGATACTAGTACTGCTGTATCCATCAGTTTAGCTGATTCACATACAATACCTGTACAGGGTACTGCTAATATCAAAGCCAAAACTCCTTATGGTTCATGTACACTCAGTGTTTACATTCTACAACATACTTCTCACCCTCTCATTTTGGGTTCAGCATTTATGACCAATCATTCTGTAGTCCTAGATTTTGGTTCCATAAATGTCGGTTATAAGAAACTGAAAGTCAGATGTAAAACCCGCCTCGCCATTAATCCAAACTCAGAGTGTATGGTATGGTGTAAACTACCTAAGTATAGCACTGTAGGCTTACAGGGTGTTTGTACTGGAAGTAAGAAAGCAATGAAAGCTGGTTTACTGGTTGCTAGGTCTGTTAGTACTATTCCTCATACCAGGAAAGTTCCTGTAAAACTTCTCAATCCTGGAAATACAATTATTACTATACCCAGCTACACAGTGTTAGCCTATTTCGAAACTATGGACAACTCATACCATGTACTTGCACACAATTCTGGGGTAGGATGTAATAATATTATCCACAGCAATGGTAATTCAGATTTTACCAAGTCAGATATAGCATGTTCTGAAGTTTTTGTTCACTCAAGTGATCATCCCAGTGTTCATGTTAAACCCAGTGTTTCTGAGTCAGATGTACATAGCAATGTTTATGATCAACCAAGTGTTATTACCAATGTTCAATCAAATGTTCATTCAAATGTTTATGACCAACCAAATGCTCCTCACACAGATGTTGTATATAACAATGTTGTTCAATCACATGTTCATGCAAATGTTTATGACCAACCAAATGTTCCTCGCACAGATGTTGTATATACCAATGCTGTTCATTCAGATGTTCCTACAAATGTTCATGATCAAACAAGTGTTCTTAATTCAGAGTCATATAACAATGTTGTTCAAATTAATGTTCATGAAAATGTCAATGTTCAACCTAGTGTTTCTCAATCAAATGTAGTTCATAGCAATGATGTTCATTCAAATGTTCATGTTCAGCCCAATGCTTTCCATTCAAATCTTGTTCATACTCATCACGTTCAATCAAATGACAATGTTAAGGCAAATGTTGATTATATGCATGGTGATAATGTTGACTTTGATAAATTCATTTCTTATTTCCATGTAAATGAGAATCTTACAGAGGTTCAGAAGGGTACTTTACATAAGTGTTTGTATCAGTATAGGGACATTTTTGTAACTGATGAAAATCCATTACTTGGCTTTACTAATGTTGTAGAACATAGAATCAATTTAAAGCCTGATGTAGTTTCCAAACATCATAAGCCCTATAGACTTTCACCAGATAAGAGGGAAGTGTTGAGAGTTCAACTGACCAATTTAAAATGCTGTATGTCTTTAATGTTGATCTAGTTTTCATCTCTTTGATTCTAGTCAAATGTATTTTCATGTATTGATTCTAGTCATATGAATTTTCATGTGTTGTTTCAAAGTTCTCAATGGTATATTTTCTATATTGAATGTAATTGTCTTTTGGTTGTTTTCCATTTTTTTTTTTTTTTTTCTTAAGAATACATTTATATGTTAATTACTACTGCATTGAAATTGATTTCAAATGATTGCTATTGAATAATCCTTGTGGTTCTTAACCAGTGGATGAGATTTCACAATTAATTCAACTTTATAGTATGAAATCACAAAGTTTTCCACATGAATCTGTAGTGACTATTTACTTATGATCTTGTATGAAATGATTATGATTGCCAGCAATAGAATGTAACAATGTAATTCACTATGAGGTTATACAAATCCTGCGCAATTTGATTTCATTATGTGTTGCGGGCGAAACTGTGAGTGTAACTACCTAGTGCACAGGTGATTGTAAGAGATGTTTGTGGTAACATATATTCAATGTCTTATTGTCAGTTTTTGAAATTTTTCATTACATTACTATTATAACCTGGTTTGTCCTGTATGGAAAAAAATCTGTCATTTATCCTGCAATGATCATGTTTATACACTCAGTTTCATAATAATATTGTGTCATGCTAGTGTGCATCATTTGATCTCTGGGAATAACATGTATACCTTGATCAATTTTCTTCATAAGGTTTATAATATGTCATTACCAGGTAATTGTATCTTTTTGCTGATAATGCTTTCCTATATCAAATTTCCTTTAATTCATGTATTCTAATTAGGATAGAATTCCATATATTGTGTTCCTTTATCGTACACTTGCTGACCAGTGTCTTCCAAAATTGCTTGCAATTTTTTTCCTTGGGGGGCGGGGATGTTGTATACATCTATATAACTGGTCAGGTAGTGTAAGATAATTGACTAGTTCCGGATATTTGACCCGGCCTCCGGATCCTTGTTTTCGTGTTTATATGTGTGTTGTTGTTTTCCGTAGAATAAATTGGCGGTAAAGTGAAGACAGCGTGGTTTTCTAATCTGTGATGTATGGGTTTTATCGTGCCTCTCATAGCCAAGCAAACGGGTTTCCCCTGCACCCCCATAACAGCGTGCTATCGTCCATCTGTGTGCATGTTGTGCTTTTCGATCGAGATTTAATATAACTTTAGGAAAGACTTCCAGAAGCGTGTGACAGAGTTCATTTATTTTGTAAATATATAAGAGCAGAACTAGATATTTCGTAATTAATCCATACATCTGTTGGTTTGACACGTGTCAATCCATCAGATACAGACTAAATTGTTGTATACACTTGAAATATTAAATGTATTGTTTACAAAGTGACACACGTGACAAGCCTTAGTGTACGAACACTCATTACATGCAAACATTCAACGCACGTCTCTTTTTGTCTCGACAATAAATCAAGCCTACTGAAAG